ATAATGTGTATATTAATATTAATATTAATATTAATAAATAAATTGCTTTTCTGTTTTTGTTAACCAATAAATAAATTGGTTTTTTTGGGGTCGGAAATTCTTAATCATGAGTTCTGATTATAGCTAGTCATGAAAATTGTTAGGAATTAAACGTGTGGATCAAAATTGTCATTTTGTTAATACTCTTGAAATCAAAACTCTCATTTTGTTAATATTTGTGAGACCAAAATTGATATTTGCTCAAATTTTATATATCTGATAGGACATGTTGTCATTAGTTAGTTTAATATAAGTTTTTCTTAAAATAATAAATGTTAACACGTGAAATTAGTATTTGATAAAAAATTTACAGAAATTTATTATCACTCTAGAAAACTCCAATCTATATATTATATTAAGCTTGATTCCTCTTAAATAGATTAATAACATTGTATTATACAATAATATTGATAATATTTCTTATAAAATTTTTATTAATTTGATTAATATATAATTAATGATAATAAATATAAAATGCATGTATATATATTATATAAATATATTTATTTATTCAAGCACTTGGGGCGAACCCAATATTCACAATTCAAAACCTAAAAACAGAAAAAACAAAACAAAAATAGAATCTAAAAGATGCTCAATGCTCTAGAAATTAGCCAGCTAAAAACAGAAGCCGCCAAAACAGCTACACAGCTTACAGGCTACTAATACAGAATTTCTCGGCTGGCGGCGCACGGCGCGCTGGATTCACGCCGAGCGTCAGCTCCAGTATCGGCTCACCATTCTCGTCACCGGTCCATGTATCGTTTTCAGGAAGCCAAACCGGCCATTCCCGGTTCACAAGACTCGGCTCCACAGTTTCAACGGAGAGCGAGTCGTGACTGGGCGCTCGGTTACTCCCATCGTTTTCCGGTTTGTCGGAGTCCCAGCCGGTGATGCTGAACTTGGTCGGCTCGGCCGTGAACTCGTCGAAGGCGGGGAGAAGTTCTCCGCCTTGCACGGAGGCGGACCGCTTGAACCGGTTGCGCGTCCTGACCCGGCGAACCGGCCTGGAGTCTTTGGAGAAGTGGCGTATGTCGGAGCCATTTAGAGGGATGATTGGTCTCGCCGGAGCTCCACCGTGGCCGGTGGAGACCGGCGTAATTGGCATCCCTTTCAACACCGCCTCCACGGCTTCTCCGCACAATTCCCATCTCCCTTCCCCCACCAACCCGGCAGAACCGTGAATAGGGTTTATGATCCGGCCACACGCTTCATATAACAAAGACTTGAAAATCGCTGCAAATATATATAAAACAACATTAAAAAACTTATCCTTTATATCTGGAATTCTGCTATGTTATTACTTTATTACAGTTCAGTGGTTTAATATACAGTATTTGAAAGAAAAGATCAAAATTTAAAACTAACAGTATTACTGAGTTACTGAGTTACAGTGATTTATGGTTTATACGTACCAGGGCGAAGGACGTCGGGGCCGGCGTTGATGAGGTTGATGAGGCCGGCGCGGCCGTAGAACTTGGCGAGGAAGATGGTGGCGTTGGCTTGGGATTGAGGGGAGTTGATCCAATGAAGGCAGGGTCTTAAGGTGCAGTCGTCACTGCAGCCTTTGCGGAGGACTCGGCAGCCATTGCAACTCATTCTCAAGCTTTTAAGAGAGAGAGAAGAAGGAAGAATGGGAAATAGAGAGATTAGAGAGTGAAGAGTAAAGAAGAAGTAGAAAGGAATGAAAGGAAGAAGGAGGGGGGAAGGGGGTATATATGTTGGAGGGGAGGGAGAATCTTTCCAACACATCACTCTCAACTCCCACTGTTAGCCTAATTAATCTGCATCTGAATAAAGTAATATAGCCACCCCAATTTCAATAAATATAACTGCATATTGGATAGGAAAATGACTTGGAGGAGAGAAGGCAAAGAAAGAGGAAAAAAGATGAATTTATAGGAGATCAATTTTTTAGTGTTTTTAGAAAGCCGGCTCTAATTCTCTCTAGTCTCTGCTTTTTGACTACTCAATTTTTCACACGGCCGCAGCCTTCGTGAAGCAAGCAGATCGGAGGCGACGTCTAATCGTCTTTTCTCTGCCGCCATCTCCACCGCAGACAGCATCCGCCTTCATTGTCTTCTCTGCCTTCACCATTTTTGTCTTTCATTATCCGCCTTCGCACGGTTATTTCCCTTTACTTTGTTTTACTTGTTTAATTTTGTTTGCCGTTTCTATGTTTTTCCTCTCGTTGTTTTGACGAGTTACTTCTTCTTGTTTACTTGACGAGTTCTTTTTTCATAAAGCGTAAAACGATATAACTGGTCATGACGTATGTGAATCTCATCCTGGGTGACAAACATGACAATGAAAATGAGACTCCTTTAAACTATGATATCCAGTTCAGCCTGATGGAGATATTGTCAAAATGGATAGAAGAATGGAAATAGATACTCACGTGGTGTGCAAGACTATTCAACAACTGTCAGTCTTGGATACGTTTGACCAAATCATTAAAAAAGCTTTAAGTTCCTCCAAAGAATCCAGCTTCAAATTTGTGAAACAGTCTGCAAATCAAGTTTTCTTTAGCATTGCTACGGAAGTTGTTTCTATGTCTGATTGTAAAGAATGTTTAACCATTCCATTAATCTTTATTGTAAATATTTTAGCCTATGATTAATGAATCTACAGTATAGGAATTATGAATATGAAACTGTGCCCACCTTGACAGCATAAAGTAGGTTTGATGGGGGAGCGTTATGCCATGGAACCGTGTTCACCATTCATGGTGAACACGGTTCCAACGATGTTAGTACACCGTTATCTTTTTTTTTTTTCTTAATTAATTGCGTGACTTTTCTTCTTCATTTTCACATTTTGCGGTTTCACTTTAATTTGAGGTGAACAATGATTTCGGACATTCATAAATTATGAATTCATGCCTGCACATTCACTTTGGAACCATGCCTACACATTCCCGTCCGGAATCACGGACATTCATGGATTCACTCCATGACTGCACATTCACTTTGGAACCATGCCTACACATTCACTTTGGAACCATGAGATTATGAATTTTCTGTTATAAGATTATGAATTTTCTGTTATAAGATTATGAATTTTCAGTTATGAGATTATGAATTTTCTGTTATGAGATTATGAATTTTCTGTTATGCGATTATGAATTTTCTGTTATGCGATTATGAATTTTCTGTTATGAGATTATGAATTTTATGAAAATTCATAATCTCATAACAGAAAATTCATAATTTGATCAACGCGCGCCGTTAACTCCACATCCGCGAAATTTTTTTTTTTTTTTGCCTAAAAACGACGTCGTTTGGCCTTGTGTTCACCATTCACGGTGAACACGTTTCGATGGCATAATTTGCCGTTTGATGGGGGCATGGGCTATTGGGCCATTTGAATTTGATTAAGCCCAAAAAGGTGGAAGTGGGCTAGAAATTAATTAGACAAGAAGATGGGCTTAGAGGGGGAGATTAGGCTAAGCTAGGGGGCAAATTATGCTGTGCATCCGTATGCACCATGCATGGTGCATACGGATGCAAAAACGACGTCGTTTTAATAAAACGCGCGTCTCCCCTTAAAAAAAAAATCAAGTTCGATTCCCAGCAACAACTTATGAACTAAAATTTCATAATCGGTGAACTATAATTCCATAATCGATGAACTATAATTCCATAATCGATGAACTATAATTCCATAATCTAATCTATGAACTAAAAATTCCAGAATGAATGAACTAAAATTCCATAATCTATAAACTAAAATTTCAGAATCGATGAACTACAATTCCATAATCGATGAACTATAATTCCATAATCAATGAACTATAATTCCATAATCTATGAACTATAATTCCATAATCTATGAACTAAAATTCCAGAATGAATGAACAATATAATGTTATTGCTGGGAATCGAACCTGAATTTTTTTTAAAGGGGAGACGCGCGTTTTTTAATAAAACGACGTCGTTTTGGCATCCGTATGCACCATGCATGGTGCATACGGATGCACAGCATAACTATCCAAGCTAGGGAGGTGGATTGGTGGGGGAGATGGCACGTCAAAACATGATCGACCAGAGTGACAATGGCAACCCTAGCGGGGGTTATTTTTCAAAAGAATAAGATTCAAATTGGCCACTGAACATAACCTGAAAATGTAATTAGGCCACTGAACGAAAAAAAAAAAAAAAAAAAAAGTACAATTAGACCAGTGATGCACACGATTTTTACAACCGTGTGCACCATACATGATGCACACGATTATTTCTCAATGGCAACCCTAGCAGGGTTATTTCTCAAACGCGCGTTTTTAGTTAAAACGACGTCGTTTTTACAACCGTGTACACCATACATGATGCATACGGTTGCACAGCATAATTTGCGCATGTACTTAGTGTATGCAATCTAGCCACATTTTGTGAAGCCCAGGTAGTGGATTAATCTTGATTTCTTAGTACGAGACTGTGAGCCCATGAGTTCCATCGACTAAGAGACAATGAATGTAGACAAATTATACCATGCATCACAATCTATCTTGCATTATAGACTCTAATTTAAAATAACTTTCAGATTATATATCAATTATATATCTACAGTTGACATATTTTGTATTTATAATTAACAATTTATGTGCTTATAAATAAATTGAAGGCACATAATCCATTAATTACATACCCATAACATGGTAAATACAGACATATAATATGTTAATTATATACACAAAATAAGTTAACTGCAAATATATAATATTTTAACAACATATTATGTGTCTGCAGTTAACATGACATGTGTATGTAGTTAATATTTTATGTGCATTCAACTCATTTACAGGCACATAAATTGTTGACTGCAGATACAGAATTATGTCAACTACGTACACATAATGCAAGATGGACCTTGATCCATGGTATAACAATTGATGAATGCAAGTGGCGGCTGGCCGGCGGCTTTGAGCGGCACCACCGGTTACCTAAAACACCGATCAATGGAGACAGGAGAGCAATTATAACTTCCACATTACATATGGAAAGGCAATAGCAGTTCATACCAACAGTGGTTAGATAAAAAGAACAGTAGTTTCATGCCTCAATTAGACAAATCTACAACGAGGAATTAAGTTAAGCAGCAGAAAATTCCAAACTACACATTTCTTATAACCACCATTGCTTTCCAACACAGAGTTCAGCGCCTTGGAGGGCCGCGTCTATCATAGGGTCCCCCCCAAGCTCCAGCGCTATATGGATCACCGTACAAACCACTCGGATACCCCATTTCTGGGCTTTCATTCAGCATTCCATATGGTCCAACGCCTGAGAGTGGTAAAGAGGGAAGTTAGAATATCAAACTTCAAATGCAGAAGTTCAGATCAGATCGTATTGCAAGTGAGAGAAAGAGAAATGAAAATGAAGTTAGTACCAAGTCCCCTTGCTCTCCTCTCTGCAGCCATCTGCTCTGCTCGTAACCTTTCCATTTCACGAGCCATAGAGACAAGATCTTTCTCCATTGCTTGGTTCTGTTCCACAAGCTCTGTGTTTTCTTTCTTCTCAAGTTCATATACTCTCCTAATAATTATCATATTGAGCAACAGAACATTTCCTCAGAACCAAGAAAAGCATTGAACAATGTATCTTGACGTTGCACCAAAAATGAAACCATAGAAAAACACAAAATAACATAGAATAAATTATTTTCGGTTGACTTCATACCTTGCTTCCACAAGCTCTTTGCGCATCCCATCAATATCAGCCTTCATGGCAGCAACTTGTTTATTCTCAGTTTGCAGCTGATTAAGATCCTTCGTTAAACTTTGAACTTGGGTAGATAATTCCTGTCGGAAACCATTTAACTTTTGGGCATCAGCTCTTAAACCCCCAAGTTCTGCACGCAGAGGTTCTGCAGAGTGAAGCTCAGCCTCCAGCTTCAATCCTCGCTCAATATACTCCCTTGCCTGCACCTCATTGTCACCATGCAGCTTAGGAATGAATTGGCCTAATCTTAGAATCTCATCTTTTACGGCAGTCAATTCCCTTTCGAGCATCACATTCTCGTCAAGTACATGTCTATTGTCAGCAAGAATTCTTTGCATATCTCTATGCTGAATTTCAAGTTCCTCTTCAAGGGCTGCAGGATGAGGCGGGAGGGGACCAGGTCCTCGCTGCATAACAGGCCGTGCTGGTGGACCATCGCGGTATCCTCTATGGTTATCAGATTGGCGTGGCAAACGGTTTCTACTAGACATCCCTACCGTCCTGGAAATTGACAACTATCTGAGTTAATGTCACATAGAGTCATCCGAGTATAGTAGTTTCGCCACGTTTAGCCCTAAACTTTCAAATTGACCACCCACAGTCCTTCGACTTTCAAATTGTTACCATCCGTGGTCTAAGTTAACCACCCATGGTCCTTCAACTTTCAAAATTTAACCAACCATGGTCCTCTTGGGATTTAACCAACCAACACAGGAGGTTGTCTCTTCTCCGTTCCATACATCGACGCCGGTAGCATTACGTTCGCCGGTCGCCAGAATGTTGGATGGAAAATTATGACCGGTTGTTTCAGGTAAACAACAGGTCATTTGGGGTTAAATGAACCAAAATGACAAGTTTGAGTGTTTAATTGAACTTTTTAAATGTTGGAGGTCTTAATGGCACTTTTGGGTAATGTTTGAGGGCTTATTTGACCCTTTTCTCAAAAAATTTCTCACAAATGAGGTTCACACATTTCCATGTTGGCAGTAAACAAAATATTAGGTCTAGACATAATTTAAAAAATAATAAGGGTTCTAACTTCAAATAATGTTATGAAAACAGCAATAGGATAGACATCTGAGAACAAACAGAACACAACTTGCTGAATCTGGAACAGATTTGGAACTAAGTCTAAGACAGATATGTTTGATAGTAAATAAATAGTAATACTGGCAAAGAAGAAACATTATTATAGCAAAAACTGTAGATATAACACAGGAGCCAATTTCCCTGCACAAAGAAAATGAATCTCCCGTATATATCTAAGACTAGACTCATGCATTGGATTCAGTTTTACTTTAAACTATGAGAAAAATATGCACTGTTTGAATTAAATAAAAGGTGGTGAAAGAAACTATTCTACTACCAAAAACTGTAGATATAACAGAGGAGCCAATAACATATGTCGCTGAATGCATAATATCTATATATAATAAGACACTATATTAATCTTAGAACAATGTTACTATATCCCACTTATTCTAGATGTTAACAACAAAATCAAAAGAAGGTACTCTCAATGAAGAGCTGAAGAGGAATCACTATGTAGAACTTAAATTCAGCAAGAAAATATAAATAAATAAATCGTCTACAGCTAAGCTGTGTCCGAATACCCAAAAATTTCAGCAAACTATTTTATACACTGACATCTAAATTAGACAATATGCTTGAGAACATTACTTTCTGGAAAGCTTTAATACCATATATATGAAACTGAGGAGAAATTGAAGTATCAACAATTCAACATCTTCAGATAGAAAATCATAGATTTTTAGTAATATCTGAAATTATTCTTAATGATGGTCTCACTAACTGTTGGACGGAAGCCGGTGAAGGGTCAAGTCTAGCACTAAGAGGCTAGGGGGATTGTTGGGCAGACGCTGAAGGGCCAGTCCAGCACCCTACCTCTTTAAATGTGGCGGTATAAGGAAATAAAGTTGTGTCTTCACTACTAGCTATAGTTGTTGGCATAGTAGTAAGAGCTTGATCTTAACATTAACTAGTAATTGAATTAATGCAAAATAGTATGGGTTGATAAGAAATTCAATCAACAAGTGATCTTCATAATCATAATAAAGTGGTAACTAGAGCACATAACTATTAGACAAACCAACTTTTTTTTTCTCCACGAGCTAGTGGGATCTTAAGACTTTTAGCCAATTTATGTTCTTTCTTTGTTTGGTGACCAGATAGACTGAAGTGAATAAGTGATATTCCATAAATTCCACATAACTCTCAACAATTACATATCCAAACGACAAAACCCAGACAATTCCCTGTTGTCTCTGAAAGTCCCACAAATCATTTTCTGAAAACTCAATCAATAAGTGATGACAGTTTGAGTAGCTCTATTTCTCAACTGTCTGAAAGCTTGTATTAAATTTGGAAAAATCAAGCAAACTAGCTTTATTTTTGACCTTTTGAAGAACTTTTCAATAACTGAAATAATTTGTGAAGCATTGAATTAAAAAAAAAAAATAAAATATCTATAAACTATTCAATAATAAATCAATTAAACAAACCACATCATCAGTTACCGAAATATAATCAGAAAAATGAAAGCAAAAAATCGAAAAAATCTGAGGAAAAAAAAACCAGCAATAACTTACCTCAGTCGCACTGGACCTCTGTCCGTTCGCGAACGTTTTCAGGTTGTTGGAAGGGAAGCACCGGTGATGCTTCGCAGTTCGAACTTCGAAGGGGCCGGTGGCGACAGGAAGGATTCGTCTCGATCGATCGGGACAGGCAAAGCTCTTGGGGAGAGTTTCGTAAAGAAAAAAAAAAAATAAAAATGATGTCTTATATATATCAAAACTACATCGTTTTTTGAAAAAATAAATTACAACCTTCCATGTGGGAGTCCAACTCGAATGGCATCTAAGCACAAGATGTTTGGCTATTTTAGTAGAATCTAAATGACTTTATAGTTATCTTTTTGGATTTCTGTAAGTCATATATCTTAACATTTTTAAATTTTTAAATACTTTTAAAATATAAGTACTATTTAACACTTTTTTGAAGAAAGTACGGTTAAACATTTAAAAATAATAAGAAAAGAGTAAAGAAAATATATAAAAATAAAAAAAAATAAAAAATTGAATTGACGAATGAATAATAAATCAGACAAATAAAATGTGACATTGGGAGTAATAAACAAGAAAATCTTTTATGGGATACCGCCCTGCCACGGCCGACGAAATTGCTAGCCAAGGCCACGGCGACCATGGAAGCACGGCGCAATGCAAGGCTGCCATCATCCACACCTGTGACGCAGCCGCAACAACCGGAGCCCATTGGAGGACTGCCACTGTCGCACGGTCTCACGCCCGCCATGCCCCCCATCACGGCGGCAGTGCTACCCAAGACATGCCGCGTGGATGTCGGCTACCTCCACGACTCTGGTGCGGCAACGGTAAGGGCGGTTTTACTCGATGCGAATGGTGGATATGTGGCAGCATTCAGTGCCCCTCTTCCAGTTTGCTTCTCACCACTCATGGCGGAGGCATTTGCGTGCAAAGAAGCGTTATCATGGCTTAAAGACTGGGGTGAAACAGCAGTACATCTTTACACAGATTGCCTATCATTGCAATGATATCTCGTCTCACCCCCGTCTATAGTTCGTTCGTATGTTGGTTATGCTGTTGATAGCTGTAAGTCTATTGCAGCTTCAATTGATTTTTGTTCTTTTAGTTTCATCCCTAGATTAGACAATTATTTACCTCATGCGTTAGCATCCGCTGCGTTCCAGCAACCTACTATTATGTATTGGGATCTATCCCCACCTGACATTATTGCAGCGTATTTCTAATGAAAGCACCATGAAAATTTAAAAAAAAAAAAAAAAAAAAAAAAAAAAAAAACAAGAAAACCTTTTATTTTATTTTATTTGTTGTTTCTATTCTTTCTTTTCTTTTTTTGAAAACGTTTCTATTATTTCTGTTGTTAGTTATTTTTTTAAGGGACTTTCTTTTGTTAGTTTGTTTGTTGTTTCATAAATTTTCACTATTTTCATTCGCCAAATGAAAAGCAAGGTACAAAACTACAAATTTCCAAATCCAACACTCTCCGCCGTATGGGCTTGCCCAATTTCAATAAAACAATCCAAATCGGCCAACCCATTTTTGCTGCAATAGTTATGCTGTGCAACCGAATGTACCATGCGCATGGTGCATACGATGTAAAATGACGTCGTTTTGACTTAAAACGCGCGTCCCACTTTTAAAAAAAAATCAAGTTCAATTCTCAGCAATAGTATTATTGTGGATATATAGTTATGAATTTCTGGATATATAGTTATAAATTTGTGGATATATAGTTATGAATTTATGGATATTTAGTTCATTCATTGTGGATATTTAGTTCATTCATTGTAGATATTTACTTCATTCATTCACTGTGGATATATAGTTATGAATTTATGGATATATAGTTATGAATTTCTGGATATATAGTTATAAATTTATGGATATTTAGTTCATTCATTGTGGATATTTAGTTCAATCATTGTGGATATTTAGTTCATTCATTGTGGATATTTAGTTCATTCATTGTGGATTTTTACTTCATTCATTCATTCATTGTGGATTTTTTACTTCATTCATTCACTGTGGATATATAGTTATGAATTTCTGGATATATAGTTATGAAATTCTGGATATATAAAAATGCTATTGCTGGGAATCGAACCTAATTTCTTCTTAAAGTGAGACGTGCGTTTTTTTAACCAAAACGGCGCCGTTTTGCAACCGTATGCACCTTGCAAGGTGCATTCGGTTGCACAGCATAATTTGCGTTTTTGCTGCATCTAACCTATACTCTCCCAGTCTCTTGGACTCAACTCAGATCACACTCACAAAATTTGACTCTTACTCAAGAAAAAGTTTGACACATAACTCCTTAACATGGCGTGCCTTTAATTTATTATTATTATTTTTGTTGTAATAATGAGGGAAATATGCAGCCACTAGTCAAACTTGTAATATTTGATTACAAAGTCAATAATTTGACTAACTTAATTGAGATTGTGCTGAACTCGCATACCCTTAAACTTTAATTGGACATTTGGACGGCATCATCTCTTGGTGTATGCAATCTAGCCACCATTTGCCGATCCCATGTAGTGAGAACCATACATAGGGATTTGATCACTAAATTTTCCAATGTGCAAGTTAAAATGGAGAAAGATAAATGGACTCCAAGTTCATGAATTCTTGAAATCATAACCATCAATCAGTTCTGAACTAACGCCAGCTCAATTGATTCTGAGGTGAAATTTGTTACAAGAAATCAAAAATTAAAGTAGTATCGAGCGATTAAAGCAAGAGTAGGTTGTTCTCCACGACTTTTCACATTATTGAGGCCATGACAGGTCACAGTGCAGTCGCAGAGTATCAACACTTGGGACCCCTAATTATCTGATCTGGACCAGAAAGTTGTGTTCAAAACCCCTAAATGCCCATTGTGTTTAGTACAAATCACATTATTAAAGAAAATATGTTGGTGGTTTGGTCCGCAATTTGTCATGTTTTTTTTCTGTGTGATTTGTTAATTATTATATTGAAGTAAAATTTACTCAATATATATTTTTCGATAACAATTGTATGTAGATTTTTTTCGTCACTCAACAATAAAAGGGAAAATAGTTAAATAGGCACTCAAATTTTAATTTGACTGAAAAATAAATTAGTCTCTCTAAATTTTTTAAAGGTGCAATTACACCTCAACAATTTATTTTAATGCAATGAAACCTAAACATCGATTAATGACCTGCTATCATAGGTTATTAGAGTTTTGACAACCCATCGACAAGATTCTGACGAAATTTCAGTCAACGATCGCCGGTCACGAGGAAGGAGACCAAGGTCGCATTCTCACCAAAAAAAGCAACCACAGTGGTCGCTTTCTCCAGTAGAAGGCGAGCTGACCATCTGGGTCGCCTTCTCGCCGGAGAAGGAGGCCAGGGTCTCCTTCTCCGTGACCGGCTCAGTCGTAGGTCACTTTGTTGAAATCCTAATGACATGTGATAGTAGGCCATTAACTGACTTTTTGACTTCACTGCATCTATTTTTGAACTCCATTGCATTAAAATAAATTGTTGATGAGTTTTTGAACTTCATTGCATCAAAATAAAATAATAAATTGTTGATGAGTTGCACCTTTAAAAATTGAGGAGACTAACTGACTTTTCAATTAAAGTTTGAAGGACCTATTTGACATTTTTTTATTTTTTATTTTTAAAAACTTTTACTATAGAGCCGTTTCGATTCCGTTAATACAAGAGCCAATTTGGCTCACTGTTTGCCCATTAATAGATGGGCAAACCGCAAGCTTTATGTTAACGGAGTTTCAAAACTCCCATGCCACATTTCCCACTAATATGGAAAAAGTGATAAAACTATAGGGAGCTCCGCTCCGTTTATGTTTTTTTTTTTTTAAATTATTTATTTTATTAAATAATAGTATAATAATAATTATTATTAATATATATATATATATATATATATATATATATATATATATATATAGTCATTTTACATGTTAAAGAGTTAATTTTATGAAATATTTATCCATATAATTCATTAATCAAACTCATTAATATAATTCACTATTTACTAAAAGCTAATTGCCAAAAGAGACCGGGATATCTGATTTCTGAGTTTAATTTTCAGTTGTAGAAGGAGCCTATATATATATTACAGACAGACTATGTGTACTGTGTAAAATGAAAGATCGAAAACAAAAAATGAATTAATTAATTAAGAAATGTTGAACGTAGTAAGGGTTTGGCATGTTAATTGTGGATATGGCGTCTCTATCTATCTATCTATCTACGCTTGATCTCCAACCATTGGGATTGGGATTGGAACCGGAATAGGAACAGGAACAGGAACATGGTTGATTTGTTTCAAATCCCAGACATCATCTTCCCACAAAACATCATTATACAGTTCATTATAAGCTTCCATTCCCATAATCCCCACATCCCAACACGGATCCCAACATGTTCCCCACCACATTTCCTCATCCCCCACCACCACTTCACCCCATCGCCGCCACAACCACTCCTCCTCCGTCATCAAACCACCATCTCCGCCGTCACCCACCACCACCACCACCTCCTCTTCCTCTTCGCAACACTTCTCCTCCGCCGCCTTCTTCCCTTTTCTCTCACCCTCATTTCCTAGGATGCCATCTCCTTTCCTCTTCATTCTCTCTGGCCTCTTCTTTAATTGTTTGTTTTTTGTTGGTGTCTTGTTGCAATGGTAGGGTATGCAACTGACAATGCCAAATAATTTATAGTAGAAGCTAGAATGCATGGGGCGGTGGTCAACGTGGGGAAACGGTTGTTTTTCATACGTTGTACCAATTCAAGAACCCATGATCACGTGATAGGGATGAGGTTGAGGTTGTCTTTTGGGGCCTTCGAGGCCGGATTCAATTGCGACTTTGAATTGAACCATAAAACATTATAGGTTGTGCTTTGTGGTGCTGATTCAATGAACAGTCACCGCTTCCCCTTCGATCCTCCAAGTGGATAAATAATTAAATATTCAACAGACCGACTTATCAAACTCACTCATTATTTATCACCTTATTATACCCAAACAAAAGGGAGAACTATTTATTTAGATAATGCAGAAGTTTCTAAATGTTTATTCATTTTATATTCTATGGTTTTTAGTCCAAATTAAACTCACCACAAAATTGAGAAAAATATATTTCATAAAAAATGCTATGAATATGAGATTTGATAATGAAAGATTGTAAATATTTAACTTATTATAAATGTATCGGAGTCTAATAGAGTCAA